CCCACCTTACAAACCTAACACGAAATTGAACAGGGGTCGGTTGTATCAAAGGCGTTTGGCTTAAAGGGTGTATAGGCAAATAATTAAAAACACTATTCCTATTCTCAATATACATATATTGTAAGTACTTGAACTTAATTTTTATCAACTAAATGAGTAGTTTTATGCATTGTTATTATGTTTAGACAGAAAAGAAAAGTTAAGTTTGCTTGTAGTCAATAGTTCATAGATTTGTTTAATGTTTTTTACTTATACAACCGATCCCAGATCAATATCGGCCGTTGTTCGCACGCAAACAAATATGTAAATGCTTCATATTTAACTATTGGCAAACGGTTGCCGGTGGTCAGAATGTCTGACACTATCAATCCAAAATTCGTAAATTAGTATTGCAGGAAACATGCCGATTGTCGGAGAATCTTTTTATCGAGTATATATTTATAAAGAATATAGTGTACACAACGCAACCACGTCCAAATGACGTTTCTCCTGGGATAAATCGACGTGGACGTGTTAAAATAGCAAAGGTGTTTCTGTTTACCTGGAAATCAAGAAATCATCTATATAGCATTACCTAGCTGTCGGTAAATAATTTATTTATTCCACACTTACTTACAATGGCCGATGCTTCTTGAAACTTTACGTTAAATATCGATGAGATCTCTTATACACTAAAGTTGATGTTATTAAAATTACAATTTACAAAAAAACAGTCAAGCAACATAATTTAGGAATGTTTTACTAATCGAGTCCATGTTTTACTAATCGAGTCCATGTTTTACTAATCGAGTCCATGTTTTACTAATCGAGTCCATGTTTTACTAATCGAGTTCATGTTTTACTAATCGAGTCCATGTTTTACTAATAGAGTCCATGTTTTACTAATCGAGTCCATGTTTTACTAATCGAGTCCATGTTTTACTAATCGAGTCCATGTTTTACTAATCGAGTCCATGTTTTACTAATAGAGTCCATGTTTTACTAATCGAGTCCATGTTTTATACTAATAGAGTCCATGTTTTACTAATCGAATCCGTGTTTTACTAATAGAGTCCATGTTTTACTAATTGGGTCCAGTCCATGTTTTACTAATGAGTCCAGTCCATGTTTTACTACATGCCATGTCATTCGGGGGCCGGTTGTTCAAAAGCCGATTAGCTTAACCCCAGGTTAACCTAAAATTCAAAGCACACTTCCTAACAGCTTGTTTCTAAATTTGGAAATATTTCTTCACAAATCATGTCTGGATCAATAGGAGTTTTCTTTTCTGACATTTTGAAATAAATGGTCATGCGGAAATATACGAACTGAAACAGCGGGTTAAATTTTAACCCTGGGTTAGTGCTAATCCACCTTTGAACAACCGACCCCTGAGGTCAGCGAAATAGTTGATGCCGTTAAAACATGGGTGAAACCCTTATTTTTGGACCAATATCTGTAAAATTTAGGTCTATAAATAAATTCAATTTAATTCCCTCTGAAAGCCCTCAAAAGCCCTGTAAGTTACTTTTAAATTATAGAATGTAGAGTTATTAAAATAACTGTACATTCTATCATTTAAAAACATTGATTGCCCTGCACAGGGGCGCTAGATGCAATGTGAAGCGGCGGGGGCAGCCATTTCAAAAGGGCACTTGCTTCCCAATCATCATTTTTCTGTGCGGCAGTATTTGTTAAAAATTTACTGTATGGATACTCGATTATATTACTTGTGGCTATTATGGGTCGGCAAACTTCGACATTAATTTTGAACAATTTTATTCGTTGCACCATGCTAAGGGCGCAAAATAAAATCAGTAAACGGATGTATATTGCCTGATTTAACATTAATTTTACTAAGAGCGGTTCAGGCTGCGAGCTAGACTTGCTCCAAGTCTCTCTTTCATTGTCATATCGATCCACTATAATGTATATTACATGACGTACCACGGAGAGGCGGAGCGAGAAAGAGAGACTTGTCAACTTCGGAAAATCTCGGTTCAAAACTGAACGGAAAATGCAAGACTTGTTTTATTGTTTAATTCCTTCAATTTCTTTCTGTATTATTTACTGTAATGGAACTCGTGTTATTTACACTATGCTAGATCAATACATATAAACACAGACAGAAGACAATTAAAGCAAGTCTTGCATTTTCGGTTCAGTTTTGAACCGAGAATTTCCCAAGTTGACAAATCTCTCTTTCTCGCTCCGCCTCTCCGTGCTACGTCATGTAATGTACACTATAGTGGATCGATACTATATGACAATGAAAGAGAGACTTGCGCCTGTATTCAAAAAGCTCACTCACACTCGCACTCAATGAGTGGACACTCATTCTTAATGAGTGCAACTGACCACTCAATGAGTGTCCACTCACACTCACATAGTATAATGTGACACTCACACTCCAACTATTCAAAGACACCACTCACACTCAAGTGAAGCTCCGATTTTGAGTAAAGTGTGAGTGAGAGGTATACGTCCCTTGAGCCACACTCAGTTAGACTCACCTTGTACTTTGTGATTCAAGTATGGCGGAAAGGTGGTTAAGAAGATTAGAATTACTGGACAATGTCGCAAGAAACAACAGAGACAGGAGGAGACCATATATTTTTGATTATGGGAAATATGACGAAGAGCAGTTTCGATGCAGATACCGGGTAACTAGGGCTGGATTTCGAGAGTTACTGGATATAATTAGGCCATAAATATCTGCACACAACGACCGTGGAAAGCCCATTCCCGCAGATATACAACTTTTGTTGACGCTAAGGTTTTACGCCACGGGTACATTCCAGCTAGCATGCGGAGATTTGTGTGAGATTTCGCAGCCATCAGCAAGTCGAATTATAAAGCGAGTATCCGAGGCAATCGCACGCTTAAGGAACAATTACATAACATTTCCTGAAGGTAATATTTTGGATCAACTCAAACTTGATTTCTGGCGAATTTGTGCATTCCCAAATGTTGTGGGTGCAATTGACTGTACACACATAAAAATACCTTGCCCGGGGGGTGAAAATGCTGAACTATTTAGAAATCGAAAAGGATACTTCTCGATAAATGTTCAAGCTGTTTGCGGGCCAAATTTAGACATTCTAAACATTGTCGCACGTTGGCCAGGTAGCGTACATGATGCCAGAATATTCGACAATAGTCGCATATGTGCACAGTTCGAACGTGGTGATATCCAGGGTATATTACTTGGTGATAACGGTTATCCATGCCGCCAATACCTAATGACGCCAGTAATTGATCCGCAAACCCGACCGCAGCGCAGATATAATGTAGCACAAATACGTACACGAAACACAGTGGAAAGGATGTTTGGCGTATGGAAAAGGCTGTTTC